ACTTCACACAGTTCGTTTGACATCACTGTTTTTCCCTTTTCTTCAGTTTGTTTGTGTTTTTGTTACCTAATATAAGAATAAAAATGTTCATTGTGGTAAACGAAATAATAATTTGATCTAAGTAAGAGTTTATTTTCTTACGATTTATAAAAAATCCCTTACGTGATAGAAAAAAAGAATATTATTTTCGAAGTCTGCGTAGCTGAATTATGGCAAATCCGTTATCAAAACCAAAACTACTTTTATTAAGTTTAAATTTGCAGGCTTGTTTTATTAGCCAAAATATAGCATGCAATATGATACAAAAGCTTCGACTGTATTTTGGGTTTGGCCCAAAATGAGGTTTAAGCAATTAGGAGATTTGCCAGGCAAAATTAGTGCTATTTGATAAGTCTAGCAGAGTTAGGTTTAACCACAATGCTCGTGTCTTGGTATATGCTTTTATTTAATGTAATATATGCATATTTTAAATAATTCTAGGTAGAAATTCCTGTACGTTTATTTGATTCTATGATCCAGAATTCACTCTGGTGGAAAATAGTGTCCTCTGGATAAACACATGGGTTTCTTAACCTGTAACAAAGTTTCTTTGGATAGTCGGCTGTTCTAAAACAGACTGACCTTACCTCACAGAAAGAGTCAGAATTTGACACAGACTTACACCAAGAAAGAACATTTTCTCTCCTCTAAACACAAAACAAAAATTCAAATATTTTAAATTTATGTTTTTAAACTACTGAAGTAGCTTTTAAAAGAACACGAGTTATTTTATGTATTTTTTGCTTACTTATTTAGTCTTTACATACTATTATCAACATCAACATCGCAGATCAGAAATTTAGTTTATTAATGCTTTAAATGTCATCACAAAAAGATAAGAAGTACCTTTTCACTAGTGAGGCAATACTGGACCGATTACCATTCACTCACTACTCTATTCTTCCTCATTTCAGACTTTATAGCAATACTCTTCTGGTGACAAGATCATTGTCTCAAGCCTAATGACCCTCTTCAAAAGAATAATACAGTGTACTAGAGGATAACGTCAATTAACTGAAGAAAAAAGTGGAGGGCGATATGTGGTTCATAATAGTATCGCCCAAGAATATCACAAAAATTCTAACTGAACATACGGGCAAAACCATCTTAAAAATACGACTATGTATACTGCGCCAAAATCTATGCACAGCTACTAAACAAACTCCTGCGAACGTTGTAGGGCTATTTTTCAAGTTGATTCTTGAAAGTCGAGAGTTCCACCATCTAAAATTTTCAAAATTCTTCTTCGCTACAAAAATAAGCTCTTCGAAGCCATTCAAACATTGCAGAAATGTTGAAGCTATTTAAGCACCATTATACTAGTCAGAAATGCTTTGTTTTATTAGAGCAAACAATGTGTATATTCATAACAGTGTTTCAAGCTTTATTAGTATTGATTATAGTTTTACAAGTCGCTACAGAAAAAAAAGGATACGAATATTTTAATGAAACCTGGACAATAGTAATGAATGCAATATTAAGTATGTTATAAGGTAGTTTTAAAATCAATTCAAGCGCCTTCGTTCTTTCGCCCTGAAGAATTTCTCTAAGACCTTCATTTTCCGCCACTGAAAAAAATTCAGTGTTTTACTTATGTGCATTAATTGGAAAATAATGTGTGCCACTTATAGCACATTAATTGGACTCTACAATGCTGAGGATTCACCATTTCTCGAGTTTGCTATTCTTCATTGTTTCTTTAGTTTGCTGTTGTACTTTGTCTCTTCGTGGTTTTCTGCGACTATTTCAGTGAGTTTTCTAACAGTAGACGATTACCATAGTATATTTCTATACTTTTGTAAGTGGTGATTTTTTCTAATGATTTTCGTAACTTCGCTATAAGTACATATTATATGCGATGTTGTTGTGCTCACTTCCTTTGTACTCGACGCTTTTTAAGTGCGCATTTACACGAAACCTCAGGCACAAAACCACCAGGCTCAGTAAATAATGGTTCGGTGGAAAAGAAATCAATGCAGCAGTAAACTGTTGAAAAACATGTAACATTCAACTGAATGCATATGCACCTATGTAGCTTAAAATTTATTCTCCATAAATCGATATAAAAACTTAAAAGACAAGATAATTAAAAACTATTAACTTAAAAAGGAGAATAGGGATAGTCCAAAAATTATAGAAACAAGTTGAATAAAAATGCAAAGGTTATACTTTCAAGGCTACAGCTAGAACTGTAAAAAAATAAACAAACGAGGCTGGAAATAATGCCTAAACTATTTTCTCAAGCTAGAAATCCCTATTTTGACCCTTAAAATTGATAAATACTATAGACATGGAGTCAAAAATAGGGATTTCTAGCATGAGAAAATAATTTAGACACTATTTCCAGCCTAGTTTGTTTTCTTTTTTTAGAGTCCTTAGTTGTAGGCTTGAATATATAATCTTTGCATTTTGGTTCAACTTGTAAAGAACACTATTATTGTGCTGCACTTGAGTCTTAAACGACTCAACCTTTAGAAGATTGGACCTGTTGTCATGGAGAGAAACATAATAACTCATTGTTAAACTGCTATGCAAACCATCCACTTCTTATTAACTTTCGATCAGAGTAAGTTACCTATTTAGAGCGAGAATAAATATCAATCTGGTAATGAATATAGCTGACTAAATATACTTTTCTAGGTAGACCAACCTTTTCTAGGCTTAGAACTGCCATGTCAACTATGCACTCCCTATGACAGCAACCTTCTAGTCTAGAGTGTCAGCTTTCCCTTGTGAGGGAGAGGGGTTGGCCAGCAGGCACACATTCTAAGCCAAACTATTCAGATTCGGATCCTGCCCAGTCTAATTTTTCATTTTTTTCAAAAAGCTTCTAACTTCGAACACCTTCGTGAAACCATATAAATTTCTACACCTTAAACCTTTAACACCAAAACCTTCAATAAAAAATAGCCAAAACAGATTTAGAAATTTACAAGGAGAGTGGCATAGCTCAAGTGTCATGCTACATTTCGCCCTTAGTAACAAACAAAGTGAAAACTAGGACTTGTAACTTTCTAGATGTGGTGGTTCTGTTAATTAAATATGTGCCTGGTAAGAAGAGTCTCAGTTTTGACTTCTCCACAGAAATTTTAACAATTTGGAAATGGTTTTAGGCTCCTGTTGTTGATACAGTATAGTTGATTAAAAATTATATAGACTTTAAATCCCTCATTCAACTCCTACACTAGAATCTACTGTCATACAATTAAAACATGCCTAGACATTTTGTTCCATATAAAACATGTTGCCTTCTACTGTGAGCCATCACCCACCAAAGCAGAACAAAAGATTTAACCTTGTCCCAACAAGTTACATGATTTAGGTTGTGTCCAAGCGCAATTTATCATTGAGAAGGAATGAGACTAAACAGATAACTGGCCAACTTACAAAAAAAGAAATCTTTACAAATCAGGGAGGATGCTCAAACACCAATTCACTAATATAAAATTCATTAGGGGGTTTCGGGAAGGGCAACATTGATCCTCTAGTATAAGGGATTAGGGACTCTGGAGTAACAACTTAGGAAAAACAACCACTTCACAAACATCCACTGAAAACGTAAACGAGCAATTTTATTATCCAGGAATGAATACAAGATACAAGTAGAATACATTTAGTCGCATAGTACAGGAACCATCGTATGGATGTCCAGAAAATTATTCTGGCCCATAGATGTTTCATGAAGAAGTATCTGTCGCAACAACAACAACAAATGAAAGATGCATAGAATAAATAATGTACTTAATAAACAAGTATAATAACACAGATCACATACTGAGAGACTGCATATCCAACGCATGTCATTTTATTTTATACTTTCACTCCTGTTTAGTTAAACCTTGAATTGCACATCTAGTTTTGTTATTATCTAATTGACTTTAATGAGCTTTAATTTATATTTTAGTGAGAAAGATACTCGCGTGCGTGTGTGTGTTTCGCGTGCTAATTTCGTTCAGATAGAAGCTTAGGTTCCTAAGTGTTGCGAGTTGCGATTGCCGTAGCTATAACTACACTGCCGGCTAAATACGAGATTTTCCCCGAACTATGATAACACACAATACATGACTTATTTATATATACACACACACACATCCTCAACAAACAAAGGAAAAAATTTACCTTCCATGTTATTTTCAAGGATTTTGAACTCGTTGCTATACCGCGGACTCTCACTGGGGTGCCTTCTGGTGCTGAAATTAATCACAACATTACAGCTAATATAAATTGGCATTGTATAACTTACTTCAAACTGTATGAAATCACAGATAAATCGCTATTTTTTACCTTGAAAGTTGTCCTCTTGACTTATAGTTATCATACATTACCTTATTATTGAAGAAAAAAAACCCATAAATCCACATGTGTACAAAATCATTATTTCCCTGCTTATCTTTGTAACGTTAAAATCCTATATTTGTAAGTGATAAATTTTATTGTTTTGCAAAAAATGATCGATAAGTGCCTTTAAATTACAACAGACATAACATTCGGTTCTAAGATTTTGAGAGTGAAACTGAAAGCAAAGAAGAACATTATGTCTTTGTGATCTAATCATATGTCAACCATATCCAGTTGTTACGTCTCTGGTCGTTAGTTAATTTCCCGTAAACAGTTCTTCCC